CCGGACGCACCAGCCCCAGCACCAGCTCCTCTTCAGAGGACCCTGAAAACTCCCCGGAGGCTGAAAGCACCAACACGAGCAGCACCTCCTCCTCGGAGGACACTGATAGCTCGGAGGAGTCCGACACTACCAGGTCGACCAGCAGCTCTTCCTCGGAGGACTGCAGTAGCTCCCTGGAGTCCAGGACCAGCCTGGCCCCCGATGACACCCGCACAAGTGAGGGGAGGTGCTGGGGCCAGAGGTCTCAGCATCTTTCACTAACTGAGGCCAGCTGGACTCTCCATAGGGCTGGGCAGGGGGATCCTGGCCAAGGTGAGGGGGCTGAGCCACACACCTCCCTGGCACGTCCTGGGGCAGATAGTGGACCCTAGTGCTGGTGAAGGGAGCACAACACCATCTCTTCCCCAACACCCACTTCCCTTCCCCTCAGGGGCACACGGGTGACCCTCTCCCCTTTTCGCCCTGTGCAGTGATTCCCAGCCCGGCGAGCGAGGAGCTGGAGGAAGAGGAGGATGAAGAGGAGGAGGCGGAAGATGGAAGGTCCCCGGAAGAAGCTGCCCTTCTCCTTGTGAAGAAACACCTGCAGGACCCAGGGGAGGTATGAAATTTCCCCAGTGGAGCCGGCACCCAGTCAGTCCTCCATTTCCTGATGCGGCCCACGGCAGGAGGTCACCCCCTGGGACCCAGAGCCCGCAAGAGGACACACTCAGCCCAGGGGCGCTGCTCGAGGTGGGTGTTTGTGAAGCCCCAGCTGGGTCCCTCCCTCCATGGACGCTACCCTGCTCTTTATAACATCTGCCTCGAGGAGATGAACGTCAGTAGTGCTGGGGGTCAGAGGAGAACTGAGTCCCACAGGGGGTTGGGGAAGAGCAGGAGTCCCGTGGCTAAGAGCCCGCTTTAGTCCTGGTCTTGCTCCTGGTAGATGTTGGACGGGAAGGACAGGCAGCGCTTTCTGCTGGCAATTATTAGCCTGAGCACAGCCGCGGACAGCAACAGAGAGGTGGCTGTGGAGCTGGAGAGCCTGAAAGTGGCCATGCTGGAGAAGATCGTAGTGAGTAGGACGGGATGGTGTGGGGAGAGGGAAGGAGAGGCAATGTTGTGTCATGAGGCCAGGAAGGAAGGGAGAGGTGGGGCGGGATGAGAGGGAGAAGGGCAGGTGCGCCTGGGCCTGGGCATTGGGTTGGGGCAGGAGATCAGGGAGATTGTGGTCAATGCTGGGGACAATCCTGTATCTGGAGGGCAGGTGATGGTGGGATCAGGAGAGGTATGAGTGCATACTTGCAAGGCTGTGGGAGGGAGAGGGCCAGCCGAGCTAGGTTGGTGGGAGGGGGCTGGTTGGGATCCTGCTGCCTGCGCCTGCAGCACTGGGTGGTCTCCCGTGGGGGATGTGGCTGATCCTTACGTCCCCGTCCCCTTTGGGGCTCACAGGACCTGATGGAGAACATCTCAGTGGAGGCCGACCGAAAACACATCCTGGCGTACAGCATAGACGCCATCCGCTGCCTCAGGTACGGGGACCTCTGCCCGACTGTCCTCGCTCTTCCATGAGCCAGGGGGATCCCCACTGCTCAGGCCCAGCTTTCCAGGGTGTTTCCTGCCCACCCCAGTGCCACCGCCGCCCTGCATAGCTCAGTGTGACGCAGGCTCCTCTCTCATCACAGTGACCCGAAGCTCAGCCTGGAGCCAGCGCTGGAGTCGCGCCTCCTGCGGGCCGCCGTGGACAAGAGCTTCCTGGCCATAAGGCGTGAAACCCATCGCAACCAGGTAGGTCCCCCTCCCACTGCCATGTCCCACAAGCCACGCCCTGGCAGGAGAGGCCCCAGGCTCCGTGGCACTGACCCTCGGGTCTGCCTCCCCTTCCAGGTCATGCAGCGGCTGTACGAGGAGTACCTGGAGGGCCTGCTGTGCTGCGTCTTGTCCAGCGCCCCCAGCCTGGGCAAGCTCTACTTCATTTGGGAGGTGAGCACCATGCAGAGGGGCTGGGCTCCTGCCCCATGCACTGCAGCAAGCCTCTCTCAAAGGATAAGGACAATGGAGAAGTCTGAGCTCGAAACCCAGGCCCTGAGGAGGAGGATGCCAAGGCTGCTGAGTTAGGCAGGGCACGTGCCCATTGATCATAACATCTTCCTCCCACAGCACTTTACATCATGGATTGAGCCATCGGATGCCCAGCACCGTGCACTGGGCATGAAGATGTTTACTGGTGTCATTGCCTTTGCTGTGCAGCTCCTCCCACAGTTTGAGGTCAGTGGGCCTCGACCCCAGTGTCCTGGTGCCCTGCCATTGGGAGAGTGGGGTCAGAGCTGGACAAGGAGCTTCACTCCAAGGCCTCTGCTTCTGCCTCAGTGGTGCCCCCTGGCTCTTTACGGGTCTCTTTTGCATGGCCTGCTCTAGGCATCATGAGCCCTGGACATGGGGCCTACTAGCCCTGGAGCATGAGGCACGGGGAATGATCCTGGGGCCCTGAGGAAGTCCCTGGGCTCCAGGTTCCCCTGGGAAGAGAGGGCTGTCATGCTCTGGCACTGTGGTATCTGCCTCCCCGCCTTCCTGCTGGGTAAGGGAGTGAGGTGGAGAGAGACAACTGTGCCTGGGGAATGTAGTGGGGAGGGAAGGTGGGACGTGCATGGATTCCCTGCTCCTCTCCCCCTGCTTAGGCCTCCCCTGACATACCGGAGGTTGGGGGCCCACCTGGGTCTGGTGATCAACAACCCGGAGGAGACCATCAGCTGCAAGGCCAGGGCGGGCATGTATTTGCTCGCTCAAATCCTCCTTCATCAGAGGGGTAAGGAGACCCAGGTGGAGTACAAGGCTCTGATGCCAATGGTTTCCCTCCAAAAGCCTGGTCCCAGGTGCTGGGCCAGATGCTGTGTCCCCCTCTGTCTGTTCCCAACCTGGGAAATACTCAGGATGTCGGCATTAATGAGCTTGTCCTTTCCACCTCAGCGCCCAACTGTGGCCCTGCAGCCTGTGCTAATGCACCAGTCCTGGGTGTCCCATGGGGGCACCAGGGAACCCATCCCAGAGCCCCCAGCCGATAGGCACCTGCTGAATGATGCCCTCCCTGCTGGGGCCCTGCCCTTCACGGTGCCAGAAGGGCAGCCAGAGCCCCGTTGGGTGAATGCTGAGCACCAAAGCTAGGATGGCAGCTCAGAGCCACGTGTCTCCACTTGACCTAGGCCAAGACATGCGAGGGGCAGAGGAGCTGCGGTACAAGTGTGAGATGGAGCAGAGCCAGGTCCAGAAGTACAGGGACCTGGCGAAAGTGGGAGAGGTGAGGATAGTGTGATGAAGGGGTGCAGAGGAAAGCCTGATGCTTGTCTCTGGATTGCAGGGGTCTTCCTGCGGTGGGTTACAGCCTTACAAGAGTCCAGGGTGCCGTGGTGCCAGGCCCCAGAGATGTAGGGTTTCGGTGGGATGTGCCAAGCCTCGCATCTTTTTGTTGCAGGAGAGGAGAGTGAGCTCAGGGACCCTCGCCTCTGCCACGTGAAGTCGCTGTCATCCCATCACCACTTGTTGCCTGGGGACAACATGGAGCAGAGAGAGGTTGCTGCACACTGCAGTCTGAGCCCTAGGACATGGCGGGGTCCATTTGCACCTCACAGACTAGCTCAATTAATGACCTGCCCTTCTCTGGAAGGTGCAAATCTCTCTTTCCTTCTGAGCAAACTGGCATTTAGCAGAACAGGAGGCCTGCCAAGTTCCTTGGAGAAAGGAATGAATTAATCTGCCTGGGCAGGACGGTACCAGCCTGTCTCTTACAAGTCATGCCCCTCAGGGTCAAGATCTCTGGCCAGGCCTAAAAATACAGTGTGTGTCCCCTCTGGACAAACTTCCCCTTCCCAGCCTCCGGTCAGCAGTCCTTAGGAGCTCCCCAGAGCCGCACATGGCTACATTTCTCCTGCTGTCCCCAAGTCTGCACCTGCTTTAGGGAGAATGGAGAATTCAGCAACTTGGCACTGCCAATCTGCCCCATTGCCCCGGCCACCACGCCCATCTTCACCACGTCTCTCAGAAAAAGGTCCCTCCGGGAACCTGTCCCCATTTCCCTGGGCTGTTACCAAAACCCCTTGCTCTCAGTCCAATCCCTGCCCCATGACCCCTCCCCACATCCCCCGTCCTTCCTGGGGGCAGCAGAGGCTCTGACTGGCTATTGTGCCGCTGCAGGAGAAAGAAATCCCCATCAGGG